GCCCCGCCGCGCCCGGCCTCCCACCGCCGCGCCCGCCGTGCCAGTCCCTGCTAGTGGTAGTTTCCGTGATAGCTCCTGTGTGTGCGCTGCCCTCCGCGGGTCTCCTTCCCTCCCGGGGGCCGGGGAGAAAGCAAAGGACTCGAAGCAAGGACCCCCTCGCCCCGCGAGGACGAGCGGCCGCGGCCCGCCGAGCCCCCCGCCCCCGCCCCATGTACAAAGCCTCGTTGTGCAAATGGTCCTTTTCCTTTGAACGTGCTTCTTTGTAAAGACCGAGGTACTGGTTTCTGCTAAGTTCTCCCAACAACATGAAACTGCCTATTCACGCCGTGACTCTGTCTCCCTCCCTCTCTCTCTGCTCTCTCCCTCCCGCTGTGCCTCATTTCCCCTCCCGGCCCCGCTCCCAGCTTCTCGCTCTCTCGCTTCTCTCTTCTCCTCCCTCCCCTCCCCTTTGGTTTGACAATTTTGTCTTTAAGTGTTTCTCAAAAAAAAAAAAAAAAAAAAATTACTTTAGTTAGCATGCGCGCTGTGGGCAATTGTTAAAAAGTGTTCTTAGGTTTACTGTGAAGAGAATGTATCCTGTATCCGTGAATTGCTTTATGGGGGGAGGGAGGGCTAATTATATATTTTGTTGTTCCTCTATACTTTGTTCTGTTGTCTGCGCCTGAAAAGGGCGGAAGAGTTACAATAAAGTTTACAAGCGAGAACCCGAGACCGGCCCTGGCCGCACTGCTGCTCATTCGCTCCAGGCGCCGGGTCCGGCCGTGGGCGGGGGCGCGGGTGGCTTGCCAGGCCGCCGTGGCTGCGGCGAGGAGGGGCGGGGGCTGAGGGCAGGTGGTGCAGTCCTGGGGCCAGGGGCGCAGGGGGTGAGGGAGGCGGCTGCACGCTATTGGAGGAGGCCGGGCCGAGGGAGGGGACCCCACACACGCCCCCTCCCCTTGCGTTCCCAGGCTGCCCGGAGACCCCTGCGCCCTGGCCGCGCAGGGGAAGAGGCGCGCCGCCCGGGCTGGTGGCTGCGTCCCCGGCCGCGTCTCTCTTTGTTTCCGTGTGTGTCCTCCCGTGGGGAGCGGGGGGAGGAGGCCAAAGATGAGCGCGAGCTGCTGAGCACGCAGAGATTTTTATTTCTCTGGGACTCCGTTGGGGGAAGCAGGAGCGGGGAGATGCTCTTCCGCGCCTCGGCCTCTGGGGGACGTGGCCGCCTCAGCCCGGCTCCGAGGCGCTCCCTCGCTGCCTTCCTTCCTTGGCTGCCTCTGCTTCTCTGGCAGCCTCGCTCGGCCGAGGCATCCGGAACCCGGAAAGCAGCGAGCCCTAGCCTGGGCCGCCCTCTTCCCTTCCTTTCTCTCCCCACACCCCACTCCCTTCCTTTGCTTTTTTTTTTTTTTTTCCTTCCAGACCTTTTTGTTTCCGCCAGAAACCGCAGAGTCCTACACCCACGGGCCGGATCCCCCCAGGAGCGCCCCTGCACAGGGCATCTGGGGGCACCGAGCTTCTCGAGGCCAGGCTGGCTGGCTCCTCACCTTGGGGGAACCGGGCCAACCCCGCCTGAGGCCCAGGCTGGACGCCTTGGCCAGAGTTCCTAAAGGCCGGCGCTGCCCGCGTTCGTGCCCGGCTCGCTGGGGACTTGGGTGGGGGCGACAACATGGACCGCTCCGGGGATATTTGCTTTCCCCCGCACTCCATCCCTTCCTCTCCCAAACCTCGCCTGCAAGTTGCCTCCAGCCTGCAGGGGTCGACGACGGCCCTGGAGCCCCCCGGCCCCAATCCACAGCGCTCGGCTTTCCCGTTCATTATTGATCATATTTTATAAATCCAACACCACACAATTTTTTCCACATTACCGGGAGCCGTGGGGAGGCGGAGCGGCCATTGGCGCAGGGGATGTCACGTGGGCCGGGGTCACGTGGCCCGAGAGGAAAAAGGGGGTCCTTTTTGGTGTAAATCTGGACTCTAATTCTGTAATATATCAAGGAATCTCGTAAAACCGACACTAAAACGTCCCTGCCTACAAATCATCCGGCCAAATTATGAGTTCATTGTATTATGCGAATGCTTTATTTTCTAAATATCCGGCCGCAAGTTCGGTTTTCGCCACCAGCGGAGCCTTCCCCGAACAAACTTCTTGCGCGTTCGCCTCCAACCCCGCGCGCCCCGGCTACGGCGCGGGCGCCTCCTTCGCCGCCGCGGTGCCGGGCCTGTATCCCGGCGGCGGGGGCGCAGCGGGCGCGGGCGGCGTCTACGCGGCCGGCTACGGGCTCGAGCCGGGTTCCTTCAACATGCATTGCGCGCCCTGTGAGCAGAGCCTCTCCGGGGTGTGTCCCGGCGACTCCGCCAAGGAGCAGAGGGACTCGGACCTGGCGGCCGAGAGTAACTTCCGGATCTACCCCTGGATGCGGAGCTCAGGTAACGCCGCGCACCGAGCCGCCCCGGCCGCAGCGCCGCTCCCGGCCTCGCTTCCTCGGCCGGGCGCCCCCTGGCGCGTCCAGAGCGCTCTGGGCCCCGGAGGTCTGGGCTGGGGCCGCTGCACCCCTACCCGGCCGCAGCCTGGCCCTGCCCCCACCCCCAGGTCTGCTCGGTGCTCTCAGGCCGGCTCTGCTCCCGGGCGGATCTGTCTTCGCCGAAGGCGCTGCGGCACTCAGCGCCCCCGCCCGCCCCGCAGCCTTCCTCCTGGTCTTTTAGCTTTAAATATTTATCAGCAGCGCCGGCACGGGCTGGAGACGAGGCCGTTTGTCTTGCAGAGGAAGGCTGGGGTTTGCAGAGAATAGCCATTAGGGTCTCCCCCCTCGCTCCCCCTCTTCCTCGCCCGGGAGCTCAGCCCTGGGTGTGTCCCCCCCCCAGCTCAGACGCGATATGGGGGAGGGGGCTGGGTGCTAAGTAAGCAGTTCTCCCGGTGCTCCCCTCCCCCTTTGCTCCAGCCAACTCTGCTCCCCCTTGTCCCCACCAGGACAATTAGAGGTGGGCTCCAGAGGCCTGGAGGGAGGAGGGGAGAGAGGAGACTGGGACCCAGCCTGGGACCCAGGGCCAGAGTGGCAGGTGGAAGGAGGGAGGCTGAGGCCAAGAGAGATGAAGCTCCTGACCCCCCAGTGAACTTGGGGGGGCAGGAGAACCAGGGAGGGGGCGGGGGCTCTAAGGAGCGAGCTGCTTTTCTCTGCACCCCTCCTGAGAAGCTTAGGCAGCTCTGGAGAACTGGCCAGCAAGTGGGGTAGTGTCCCTCCAGCGGGGTGCATCTCATCTTGGGGAGGGGTCTCCAATGGGCCAGTGCAAGTCCTGAGAACACAGGCCATCCAGCAGCTACTGCGGGAACCCCAGAGGCCAGACCCCTGAGAGGTCTGCCCCAAGGCTGTATCCTGTCTTGTGCTGCCCTGGGGCTGAGGGACTTTGAAGAAGGCCCAAGAGGCACCCAAACCAGCCAGGACTGGGGATGAGGAGGACCTCAGCTCTCACAGCTTGGGTATTGGTGGTCACAGTCCCCATTACCTGCCTCATAATTCAATTGCCTTTCCGGTTGATTTATCAAAGCCCCAATTTTTCTGCTCATAAACACTTCAGCATGGCTTTTATCTGACTTGGAATTAGGGCCCCAGCCCCTTCTTGCTGCAGCTCCTTCCCAGGAGGCTGGCAGTGGCACCTCAGTGCCTGCCCCAAGCCACCTCCTTGGGGTTTTGGGCCTAGGTGTGGAAGCTCCTGTCTGTCTTTGGGCCTTCCACAGATCCTTGTGCTCTCCTCCTACCTGGCTGCAATCATCTTGCTGCTTGGAGGTGGAAGGAGGGCTTAGCAGCTCTAGGTGTCTGGGTAGCCAGGTGGGCCTGCCTGTCCCTGGTTGAACCTCAGCCCTGTACTGGGGAGGAATCCCCGCCGGGCAGCCGCTTCCCGACTGACTCCCCCATACTCCAGGGCAATCTGCGGATTTTCACCTCCTGCTTCCATAACAGCGTTGAGTGCAAGGACCTGTGAGGTCTCTTTGTTTCCTTTGCTTCTTGGGAAACACTCAGACCAGGCCTGAGCCTCATGTCAGGGTCGCTGGTGAAGTCTCCATAGCTCCCTACCCCCAAAGACAACCACTGTCAGCATCCAAAAGGGAAGGCTTGGAGTCCCTGGTCCTAGAGAGTAAGTGGGGATCCACCCCGGCACCCCCACATACATGCCTTAGGAGCAGCGCCTGTGGGAGCCGGCAGGTTAGATCTCCCCAGCTTCAGAAGTCCAGGCAGGGTAAGGTTTCTTGCGAGGACAATGGCAATATTTGCCTCTATCCCCTGCAGAACATTCTGCCAATAAAGAGTAAAGGGCTGGGGAGCAAGAATTTGATTTAGTTGGAAAATGAGTTTTTTTCTCCCTCTTTTTTTTCTTTCCCCCCATGCAAGGTCTGAGAGGGAGGTGGCTACCCTCTTGGCGTTTTCAACATATTTGATTTGAAAAGGTTGACTGATTTCCCACCGACCTCCATATTTTGTGCGCAGGAACGGACCGCAAGCGAGGCCGCCAGACCTACACGCGCTACCAGACGCTGGAGCTGGAGAAGGAATTCCACTACAACCGATACCTGACCCGGCGGAGGCGCATCGAGATCGCGCACGCCCTGTGCCTGACCGAGAGACAGATCAAGATCTGGTTCCAGAACCGGCGCATGAAGTGGAAAAAGGAAAACAAGGCCTCCTGCCCAGGGATGGCGGAGCAGGCCAAGGCAGAGGCGGAGGAGGAAGAGGAGGAGTAAAGTCAGAGGAGAGAGAGGAGCCACCCAGCTCTGGGAACTGAACCTGGACACTTGTGTCAAACAGGGGGAAAAAAACTATTTAAATAAAACCAGTTTTAAAAAAAAATTCGAGAAAGGTGAAATTTTGGTTTTTCGACACTGTAAAAAAAAATACTACCTAGATGAAAGTCTGTCGGGTTTGTTTTTGTACAATATGGGAAGAACGTTACCTACCTGTTCTGTAGCTTTCTAAGTCTGCTTCGCTTTTCTATGTTGCTACTGTACCGTCTTTGTAAAGTCTCCCTGTTTTGTAAGCCTGCTTTGATACTGTCTGCGACCTGTGGGTCTGCACTCACCCCGGGGGCTCCCGCCTGCCGCCCTCTGAGCCTCCCGCCTTTCCTGTAGCAGCACCAGAGGGTCTCAGGGAGCCCCAGGGCCCACTGACTGGCCTGCTAGCTCCTGTGCCCATGTGCCTAGCCACTGCCCCCTGCCCAATGCCCACCACCCTTCCTTTTGACATTCTGTGTGTCTCCAAATGATGCAAAAATAAAACATTACAAATAGTCAAATCCCTGTTTTCTGTGTCTCCCTTTAGACTGGGAGAGGATGAGGGCTAGTGATGGGTGGGCCTGTCCTTGCCTCTCTGTGCTGGGTCTCTTCTCTTTCCCAATACTGTCCTGCTCTGGGGACTGCTGTAGTGATCTCTGATCACACACACACACACACACACACACACACACACACACGTGTGAATCTCCTTTATACTCCATACACCGACATGACCCAGGGCACAATCACATTTACAGGCAGACTTCTCACTAGATAAACATGCACTGACCCAGTCCCAGGTAAACACACACATTCCTGTGTTCATCAAGAAACATACGGGCGGCATCCACGCACATCCACGCGTACACACCGGTTTCTTACACTTACACTCTGCAGTCAGCCCAGTTTGCAGTCACTCAGGACAGGTTGGCGTGCACGTCCACACGCCGGTTTATAAACTGAGCTGCCCTGTGCCCTGTGCCAGAGTACAGGTATCCCTGAGCCTGTGTGCTCAGCCACACAGCCGCAAAACTGAACTAAATTTTAAAAAGCTCATAGCTCCTGAACCAAACAGTTCCGAGCAGGCCTTCAAATCCCAGAAGACCTGGCCACTGCCAGGCCACCAAGACAGAAGTGGAATCCTCAACACTAGGCCCCACAAGAAAAAAGCGCGGTGGGAAGGGAAAGTGAACCCCAAATCCATGCTAGGGCTCCTTGGCCTCCTTTGGCTAGAGGCTGGGTGGCATGTGGAGGCTGCCGGTGGCCTCAAGCAGCCTCCAGAGCAGGGACACCCGCGTAGCTTTTTGCTTCTTTGGCAAACGCTTTGACAAGATCTGTTCCTTTATTTTATTTTCATTGAGGTTACTTTCCTGTGTTCTAATTTCTCCCATGCTAAATTGGCCCAGGTGACACACTTACACTTAAAAATTGGGAATGGAAGGAGTCCTTGGAGCGAGGACGGTGTGGACTTGGGCTGGTGTGGCTGTCCGCTCTTGTGCGGTGAGGCTGGCCGTGCTGCCCGCGGCCGGCTGCCGGGGCTTCCTTTGAGATTTTCTGCCTGCTCACGGGGTTGCTGACAGCCTGGAACCTTCTCAGGAGTGCAGAGAGAGAGACAGAGAAAAGAAAAACATTTTGGGGGAGGTTATTTCGTTTTTCTTTGCATTTGGGTGCAGGTAGCTTAACTGAAAATACAGGGATGATTTCGGGAAACTGGGGGAGATGGAATGAATTAATATTTTGCACCCGATGACCTTAGCAGCACAACACCCCGAAAGACAGGTGCCTACACAGCCAGACCCGCACGCCTGGTTTTTAGCATTCATGAATGACCCTGGCTTGTTCAAGTTTAAGGAATAGGTACCTCCAACAGAGAGCCAGGAGGGTTAGTTTTCAGAAAAAGCTGTCTCATTTTTATCTGCAAGTGAAAGGGCCCTAACCTTGCTGTTTCCCCATTAATGACCCCAGAACCCCCCTGGTAAGCCTGAGGAGCGCTCACAGGACGCCTGGGTCAGCCGGAGTTCGGGTGGGAGAGGCTCCGGTGCGGCTTGGCCCTCCCCGGGTTTCTGGGGGGGCGAGGTGGAGAATGCGGTGGTTGGATTGTCTACTTTGGCCCTTATCCAGGGCACCTCCCCTCCTGGGGAAAAAACTAGGCCCTGGGGACCTAATCTAGGCCCCCACATCCACTATGCTGAAAGCCTCACAGGTAGGGGTCCCCTATTTTTAGGGATAAGATTGAGGGAGCCCGATTAGAGGCCCAGGGGCACCGGGTAGCTTTCATTTTGCTCAGAGGAGGAGAGAAGAAAGCGGCTGCGGCTCCCGCCTCACCTCCAGATTTGCCCCATGCTGAAGATTTGAGGTGAATTTTTACTAGAAAAGAGGTACAGGGCTCCTGAGGAAGATGGGGAGATTTTTAAGAGAACCCCCTTCCTCGATGAACCCTTGTGGCTTCCTCATCCTGAATTGCTACGCCCAAACATCGCCCCTTCCTCTCAGATTGGGGTTCCCCCCCCCAAAAAAAAGAGAGAGAAGGAGAAGAAAAGAAGATGGCGGCTGAGAAAAGGGTAGCTGCTGGAGCAGCCAGGAAGAAATGCAATAAATTCCTTGTTGTTTTATGAAAATTTACAACTTTGTGATAGAAGTTTATGAGTGGTTGAATCCAGCGATTGGCCGGCGCCGGTCATGTGGCCGGGCGATCGTGAACATGAACTTTTTATCATTTCCCTGGTGGTTATAATGCAGCATTCTTTTGGACACCATACCTAGGTCGGAGCACTGTCCTCCTTCAGGGCTCCAGCCTCTTGATATTTTTATACTTCAATATCATTTCAATAGAGCAAAGGAGAGCGAGGGGGGAGAGACGAAAGAGGGAGAGGGAAGGCGGGGTGGGAATTATACAAAAGAGAGAACCAAAAATAATTTTGATTCCTAAGTTAATGTGCCTGCTGATCTGGGATTTTAGTCATCATGAAGGGTAAATGGACAATCTGCCCAGGACTGCAGCCTGAGACCATTTTTCAAAGCCAGAACTTACTCTATTTTCTATGCAAATGTCAGAAAAGCGAAACACCCTCTCTCCCCAAGTCAGAGAAGGGAAGTGACGGCTCTCAGGTTGGGACAATATTATCTGGAAGCCGAAAGAAGAAACCGAACGCTCTTCCCCGCCCTCCCTCCCCACCCTATTCGATCCGGAGGAAGAAAACCCCCAAGGTCTGCAAAGGTAAGGGAGATTCTACAATTCTCTTCTTATTCCTTTGCATTTCATTGCTTTTGTAGGGGGTGGGGCTTGGGCTTTTCTCCCTCCTCCCCGGACTCCCAGACTGGGGTTGAACCCCACCTTTGGATGCTGCAGGAAGAGGCTTCCCAAGAAATTCGGTGCTGGAGAGTGGGGTGGTGGCCGCTTCCAGGAGGCGATGGAGGAAGGATAGAAAGGGGCGCGGAGGCCAGCTCTGAGTGCCGTTAGCAAGGCGCCGGGAGCAGAGCCCGAGCCGGGCGCCCCGGCAAGAGGAAGCTCCTTGTTTCTGCACCCGTGGGTTCGTGCCCCCTCGAACTCCGCGACCCTCCCTGGCCTGGGCCTCCTCTAATGGTCCCCCGTGAGATTCTCTTGCCCACTGTGGGTGTTGGTGGTTTTCTGGCAGCACTGGCACGAGGGGCGGTGGCGCTCAGGGTTGTCCTGGTCTCTGTAGGGCCTGGAATCTCCGGCGAGGCCGAGGAGGCGACTGGAGGGATACAGAAAGAACAATTCACAGAGACTTGCTCACATTCTCCCTTCAGAGACATTTCAAAAATGAAAGGGCTTGTGGGTGGAGACGCCCGGGGTTCCTGGGAGACTCCCCAGGAAGCCCGGCCGGAGGAGGGTCCGTGCCCAGGTCCCTGGCTGCTCCCGCAGGAGGGAGGCTGACTCTGCGCCCTGCCGGGAGTTGTGTGGTTTGAACGCGGTAGGTTCCAGCGTGTTGGTGTCGGTGGAGGCAACTGTGACTTGTGCTGCATTGGTATGGGGAGTGTGGGTTTCCGCGGAGGAAAAAGAAAGGGGCATGGGTGTTTGCTATGGAAAATTCAAACTTTCTCTCATGCAAATGTGTTTGTGAAGAGCTGTTTAGCATATTGATGTTTTAGGCTTGTACACAAAACCAAGAAAGAACCTAATAAGAAAATCAAAAGGACTGCACCATTGGGGAAGCAGAGTGTCTGGATTGCAAAGCCCCCGGGCTGGGAGCTTGGGCAGCTCAGCCTTGGCCTCTAGGGTGCCAGATTTCGCCCCCACCCAGGCCTTGGGGTGGGAGGAGGACTGCTGGGCAGGAGACTCAGATTCCTAAAGTAGCTGGTGGGGTGAAGAAGGAGCAGGAGCAGAGAGGCAAGGACGCTGGCGAGGGGAGAGCCGGCTTTGGGGGAGATAATGTAGGGTGTGGAGAATCAGAGATGTTGTGATTTAGACTGAGTTTGGTCTGCTCCGATGGATTGTTTTTTTCTTTTTCTTAGGACCAGACACAGGGCATTCACCCTCAGGCCTCATTGCCTGGGATTGCCTGGTCTGGGTCTGGGGAGTGTGAGCACCCTTGCGCTGGCGCGTGTGTGGGCGTGTGTGTGTGCCCGGGCGCCCGAGTGTTGGCTGTCTCAGCCCTAAATTGGGTGGAGACAGAGGTGGCAGCCACTTGTGGCACAGGAGGGGTGTCCCTGGGAGGCCAGGTAAATGCCCTAGGTACAGGCTTGGCCTGGCCTCTCAGAACGCCCCTCGGTCCTGTGGCAAGTGAGGTTATTCACCAGCACCCATGACTCTGGGGGCCGATTCTCCACGGGAAATTCCCCAAAGCAGCTCAGACTAAAGGTCTTTTTCTCCCGGAGTCTTCCCGGGTTATAAATGGCCCCTTACACACTTTGCTCTGACCCAAATTATGCGGTTTGCTGCCATCTACCGACCATTCCGAGACAAACGCGCGGCTTGGGTGCCGCAAGCCGGGCGACACAGCCTAACCGTGCCCAGCGCCTGCAGTCCCGACCCGAGGCTGGGGCAGAGGGCTTGGTAATCTTAGGGCCAGCCCAATGCTCTGCATTCCATGTGGGTTCTCAGGGGCGGTACAGGGAACAAAACAAATCTCTCTCCTCAGAGTCCCCAACTCCTTTCCTATCTCCCCTCCAATCCTACCCCAGCCCCAAACCTGGTGGCAGGCAGAGGAAGCGATTTCTCTTAGGACTATACTGCAACCCGGGGCAGGGGTTACAGAACCATAGAATTGGAGGATCGGGGCCACGACTCCGCCCCCAACACACCCCAAGGCTCGGGCAAAGCTGGGGCCGCCGGAGCCCAGGCTGCTCCAGGTTTATTTGGTTTCTTCGCAGCCAAGGGAGGGGCTGCGCGGTTCCACTCGGTTGTCAAAAGACAAACCGAGTCTGTGTTCTTGCAGTTGGCCGGTGGCGGGTCTCGCCAGTTCTCTAGTTGGTGGGTCGGAGGTGGAGGCACTGAACCGAGTTTTTCTGGAAACCATCGGTGTCTGCAGTGAGCGCCGATCCCCTCCCCCACCCAACCCCCCGATCGTTTCGAGCGAAATCCACGCGAGCGTGCCTTGGGAAAACTGGGAGTGGGCGTGGGGTAAGTCACGAAGGGAGCAAGCCGTGATGATTTCCGTTCCCGCTGGACCCCGCACACCCGCTTCGCGCGACAACATCGTCCCCAGAGGGGGTGGTGAGGCGGCGCGCGCCTCTGCGCCGCCCGCGTTGGCGCATTGGCCCCCGTCTCGCGGGTTACTGATTAGCTCGGGCTTTCAAGGCGTAGGAGGACGCTCCTTTCAAGGTGCGCTGGCTGTGGCGGGGGCTGCAGGAAATTGCCTGTGGTGCCAGGTCCGCAGAGGTGCTACTGGGGTCTGGCTGTGGGGAGTCTGAGGACCCGTGGCGCTGCTGGGGGCGACGCCCGCTTGCTGCGCTCCACCCCCACCCCCATCCCGGTGCCTCTGGAGTCCAGGCCTCTGGGCGGCTCTTTGAGCTTTTCCGCAGCCTGAGTGACTTTCCTGCGGCTCCATTGCCTGGCCATCTCTGCGGGAGGTCCCAAGGGAGCCGGTCAGGAAGGCGTTGGGCCCCTCGGAGATTTGTTTTCCTTTTGGGGAATGCAAAAGCAGGTAGGGAGGAGAAATCAGAGTAGTAGAGAGGGTGGAAGCACTTCAGAGGGCTCAGAGTGCCCGTGGACGTGGGAGAGGGGGCCTGGAGAGCTGCCCAGAGAGCCACCACTCCCTCCCACCAGCAGACCAGAGGGGATGTCTCTCATTTGCATAATGGAAATAAGGTCTTTGTACCTTGATTTGGGGCGACCCACCCATTTTAGGGCAGAGTGGCCTGTGTGAAGAGCTGCCCTTAGTCTAGGAGAGCCACTACATCGAACCTCTGGGATCCTTTCTGTCCCCTGGCCTAATCAGAGTCCAGGGGTAGAACTGGGTTGAGGTGTTTTCCTCCATTCCACACCAAGGCACTTTGAGGTGGGGTGGGGAAGGGCGCCTCTTAATCCCAAGAGCTGGGTAGCTTAGAGACAGCTGGGCTAATGCAGCCCCACTCCGTGCAAGCCAGTGCTGGTTCCCGAGCTGAGCACAGCCAAGGAAACACTGCCCTGTGAGCTGGAATGTGTGCTTAGCCCAAGTCCTCAGAACAGAAAATCACAATTCTGAATCAGACCCGGGAGGTACACACGCTTCCTTGATGACCAGGCAAGGAGAGACCCACCACCCAGTGGGCTGCCAGGCCTGCTGTGTATTTACATATTCCCTCCTGGAGACCGACAGACACACTGCCACGCTGGATGGAGCCCCAAACAGATTCTCCCGGAGATCTGGCTCCAAAAACCAGGCTGTCCCTGGCTGGGGCCTGCCTGCCTGTTCTATTTCCCAAACAAACGAATCAGAGGAATAAACGCTCATAAATACCTCTGGGCTTAGATAAGAGAAATGAGGCGCTAGTTCCTTTCATGCCGACTCCAGGCGCCTGGGCCCTGCCTGCAGTGGCTCCATCTCCCAACAGGCAACCTGCAGAGGTGAAGTTAATTCAGGGGCTGTGACTCTAAGGATAAGGCCATTATTTTCTACTTCTGTCCTGGACTGAGAATCCCCTCTCCTGCTGCCTCTTGCTGCCCCATGCTCTGCAGGGAGACCAGGCCATCTAGACCAGGGATGGGGATCCTGTGGCCTGGGAGGAAGGCTGAGGCCCAGGGCCCAGCTTCAAGCTGCAGGGCAGAGCTTCAGGCAAGCACCCCCCTTCTCTTCTCCAGCAGCTCCTGCCCCACTGTAGGAGTGGGCCCAACCACAGCTGGGATGGAGCTTTGTGTTCTTCCTCCTCTATCACTGGTTGCTTTGAGTTTCTCTTCTTAAATTCTTTAATCCCCCTCGGGATCGGAGTAGGGAGTGACACTCAGGGATGGCCACTTTACATCAAGTGCAGCCTGAACTGCCCTAAGTGGCAAGTGGTTGTGGGGAGGGGGGCCACTCTGCAACCACGGTCAGTCCCCACCCTCAGCCCTAAGCACCTTCCCTGGTGCCTTGTGCCACGGTCCATAGGCAGGACTGACCCCTAAAAAGAGTCCAGAACAAGGCAGGGTGGATCAGCCTGGCCTGACCTCAGACTTTATTCCCACCCTGGTTCCTTCCTCTCCCCAGGTGGAGAAGTGTCACCCTTCACTGCCGGGCCTGTGTGCTAGCCTCCTGGAACACTGGAAACACATCGTGGCCCTGGCTTCAGCCTGGGCTCCACGCCGGCTCATTTTCTTTTGGATGGGAGAGCAAGCAAGCACAGAGGGACAGGCTCACACCCAAGCTTGCTCAGCAGCAAGTCGAAAGCTGATGATTCAAGCGTGAGGCAGGGGCGGAAACTAGAGATGTTGAGGGACAGAAGGAATGGCTGTGTCTGGAGAAGGGACACTGGAAGGTGGTTGCTGAGTCCGCAGGAGGACTCAGACACTCCTCCTTCCTTAGAAAGCTAAACCCAAACCAAGGGTTGGGAAGGAAATTGAAAGAGAGCAGCCAGCCCCCAGAGAGACCTGGAAGAGAGGGGCGGGTTCTGCTCCCCCCAGTCTCTGGAAGGAACAGGATTTAAAGATCTTTGTACTCAGACCTCCTGCAATGGCCTTGATTTCTATGAATCTATGACTCAAAATACCCTTATGTCATTTGGGGTGACAGGTGGAGGCAGAAGGCTGCAAGTAGGATGAGGATCAGACAGATACAGCCACATGGGCTTGAGGGGTCCTCCTGAGGCCTGCACCCCACACACCCCAGGGAGGGCAGTGCTGGTTCCTTTCTCTGGGGCACCTTCCCCTGCCAAGAGTGAGCCCAGTAGCTTGAGCTGCAACCAGGCGGGATGTCTCGGGCAGCAGCCGAAGAAGGCTTCGAGAATCTACCAGTGAGGCTGCAGAGCCAGGGAAGCTGGGCTCAGACCCCTTGCCCACCCCTTCCTGCTCTGGGTCTTCTAGGCTGAGAGATCTGGCCAACCCCTGGGCCTCCTCAGACCTAAGAGTTGTGCAGGAGAAGGGTAATAATAGACCCAGGCTTGGAGGAGAAGACAGATCTGACAAACAGGGAAAGAAAAAATTCAAGCCCTGGGAGAGAAGGTGTTTCTTCTTTGCCTCTGTTCTAAATTGCTGCAGATTAGGGGAGAACTCTGATTCCCTTCTACGCAGAAAAACAAGCCTCCTGCAGTTTTCTCCCAAGCGATGAGACTGGGGACATTTACCCAGCCCTCCCTTGAGGGACCGGCTTGAAGCAACGCAGGGGTTAACTCTTCTCAAAACACAATTAACTTTTTCCTATTCTGCATGGGGGGAGTAGGAAGGGACATATTTATTTAATCGCTGGGGAATGGGGTGGTCTCAACCCAAAACTCCCTCCTCCCTCAGAGGCAGAGACGCCTTTTCTGCAGATCCTACGTAGGTGGAACAGGACGCGTTGTGTTGTTGGGGGGAGAGAGGGAGAAGAGGAGAAGAAGGAGGGGAAAAAAAAGGTTGATAGGTTTGTGCGCGGGTCCCTCGTGCGGGCTGCGCTCCTCCTGGGTGCTATTCGACAATTCCTGCCTCTGCCATTGGTCAGCGTTGGATCAGATGGTTGTATTTCCTTCTGGCCCTCACTGGCACCTCGCCATCCCCCCTCAGCTAAAACCCAATCTCGGATATACTACTAATAGGCGCGGCGCTCGGACTATAAAACACAACAAATCATAAACCCGGCGGAGCAGCAGCGGCCGCGCGCGCCTCCCCTCCCAATGAGTTCCTATTTCGTGAACTCCACCTTCCCCGTCACTCTGGCCAGCGGGCAGGAGTCCTTCCTGGGCCAGCTGCCGCTCTACTCGTCCGGCTATGCGGACCCGCTGCGGCACTACTCGGCTCCCTACGGGCCCGGGCCCGGTCAGGACAAGGGCTTCGCCCCTTCCTCCTACTACCCGCCGGCCGGCGGTGGCTACGGCCGGGCTGCGCCCTGCGACTACGGCCCGGCGCCGGCCTTCTACCGCGAGAAGGAGTCGGCCTGCGCGCTCTCGGGCGCCGACGAGCCGCCCCCGTTCCACCCCGAGCCGCGGAAGCCGGACTGCGCGCAGGACAAGAGCGTGTTCGGCGACACGGAGGAGCAGAAGTGCCCCACGCCGGTGTACCCCTGGATGCAGCGGATGAACTCGTGCAACAGTGAGTGCCACTCTGCGCCGTCGCCTGTGCCTCTGCGGCCCCCACCCAGGGACGGGGAAGTGGCAAGCGCCCCCTCCCCCTCCCCTCCTCTATGAGGTGCGGGGCGGACGTCTGGGGATTAGGAGATCTTGGAGGACCCGGCGCCCTCGCAGAGTCTGCTGCGCCATCCTCTGGGCCGCAGGAGTTACAAAGTTTGCAAAGTCCCAGCTGTGCGGAGAGCTGGGGGAGCGAGTGAGCTCCCCAGGAGCGCCAGGCCAGAGCCAGGATTTCTGCCAGCAAAGGGGCAGGGGCGCAGTGGTAGCTTCGCTTTTCCTTGAGCTCCCGTCCCTTCCCCCCAGCCCTAGCGGGTCCCCCACCCAAGGCCGCTCCATTAGAAGCGGAGTGCGTCATGAAGGGGTGGAGGCGGCGTGACGCTGGAGAAAGGAGTCCGGCCAGGCCGGCGTTTCCCCCGGGGTGGGGGCTGGGAGACAGGCATCGGGAGAGGGGTGGGAGGCCAGAGGAAGGAGGGAGACTGAGAGGGCGAAGGAAAGGGGACAGGCAGAGCGGGAGAGAGAGGGAAACAGGCGCCAGGGTCTCAGGTCGGATTATTTGTCGGCTTTAAATCCCAATTGATGTCCATTAGCGGGACACGAAAGTGAGGCGCTGTTAATGCGGACTATAGATCGATCCGCGTCATTACGGATTAAGGGCCCGAATCTATCATGGGGTGGGTCGGGGTGGGGGGAGAGCTAGATGGATGGCAAGGAAGGGAAAGGAAAGACGCGGCTAAGAAGAGGCACACCTGGCCAGCCCCTCCCCCGGGCGCAGGTGGCAGTTAAAAGCGCTCCTCCCCACCCCCACCGAAAGTCTACACTGCACGAACAGGCCCAGGAATCCGAGAGCGACTCCGGAGGGGGCGCTGGAGGAGCGGGAAGGGGGCAGGTAGTGGGTCAACCCGGGACAGGCTGGAGTGCACGTTTGGGGGCCCAGGGGGAGAAGGGGCTCAGGGCCCGGTGACTCCAGGCCTCAGCGCTCCGCTCTGCTCTGCGTAACAGGTTCTTCCTTCGGGCCCAGCGGCCGGCGAGGCCGCCAGACCTACACGCGCTACCAGACGCTGGAGCTGGAGAAGGAATTTCACTACAACCGCTACCTGACCCGGCGGAGGCGCATCGAGATCGCGCACGCCCTGTGCCTGACCGAGCGCCAGATCAAGATCTGGTTCCAGAACCGGCGCATGAAGTGGAAAAAGGAAAGCAAACTGCTCAGCGCGTCGCAACTCAGTGCCGAGGAGGAGGAAGAAAAACCGGCCGAGTGAAGGTGCTGGAAAGGGAGGGGGGACACGAAGGGAGAGGCCTGCGCGGACCCCGGGGCGCCGGAGAGGCCGGGAAGGCTCTGCGGGCGGGGGAGCCTAGGGACCCGCTCTCGGCGGGCGGCGACAGGCGACGGGCGGCCCCGCGCCCTCCCGGACCCCGCCCGCAGAGCTCTCGCCGCCGCCGGCGCTCAGGGCGGCCGCCCGAGCCCACCCCGCACCCAACGCCTCCTCCCTCCCCGAGGAACCCGCCTGTGGCCTGGTCAGGCTCCTGGGTGAGAACTGAGGATCGGACTCACTTGATGTTTGCTGGACGCAGAGCGAAATGCTCTTGTACGCGTCGCGTCTCATTTCGTCCATGTCCCCCGTGCACGGTTCAATGGTAGATTCGCTGCCCCTCAGCAGGGGCCCCGAAGACTCCCTGACCCCAGACATGTCCTCTCTCCCACCCCCTCCCCAAAGCCACTGGAAGGAAGGAGCACATACTACCTAGAAGTAAGAAGAGGAGCCTCAGAAGAAAACAAAGTTCTATTTTATTAATTTTCTATGTGTTGTGTTTGTAGTCTTGTCTTAGCTCTGGACGTGAAATACTTCGGTAATAATATTAATATTATTATTAATGATGATGATAATAATAAAGACCTGAAAACTGGCTGCTCCGTCATCTCCAATCCTCTCCCGTTCCTTCCCTCCCTGCCCACCCCCAAGCTACTCCCGGAGCCCTAGCTCCAGCTCAAGGGTTTCTGGTCTGCCTTCAAAGCCGCCGCCAGCCGCTGGCAGCCACTCAGAAAATGCAGTTGAGATAAAGGACTGTGCGATCCGTGGCACCCAGGGCTCCTGTTCTGTATCTTGCAGATTTTAAGGCCCCAAACAGCCTCTCTCAGTGGGACTAAGGAACCAGAGGGGGAGCTTTTTCTTTTCTTTTCTGTGGCCTGTCTTCATTTCTGTCACCACCGTCTCCACCCAAAGAGATGCCACTGCCCCCGCCCCCAGCCCGAAGCCCTTGTGGAGACTGAGTTGGTGCTTGGGCCCCTTCGTAGGGTTTTTCTGTCTGCAGCTGGCCAAAGGCCCTGGCCTTTGGCCCGTCCACAGACATGGCCCGGTCTCCACCAGCATTGGCCTGGGCTCCAAAGAAAGAAATGGGGCCACTTTCAGTCACAGCTGAAGGCTCTAACTACCCCTTCCTTCCTTAAGTTGGGGCTTAGTGCCAAGCAGAATGTGAGGCTGGCTGTGGGCAGACACGAGGCAGAGGGCTCTGACTTGGCTCTGCTCCTTGAAAGCCCGCGGGCAGGAGCGGGACATCAGATTTCAGCCTCTCAGCCCAAAATGGTCCATTCTCTCTCCATCCGCCCTTCTGCAGGCAGCAAGCTGTAGACACTGTTTTTCTTTCTTCCTCCTCCTGCTCTCCCTTTTTTATTTTTAGAGAAAATAGCCGCCTGGCAGAAGGGGCCCAGCTGCAGCCTGCTCTGGCTGCCCAGCCTGCTCAGCAAGGTGCCATCGGTCTTTGGAACCCTTTCCCAGGGAAGGTGGCAGGCTGGTGGGCAAGAGTCTGGCCTGGGGGCTCTGAATGCAATAGCCTGCATCTGTCCAGAGGGCAAAGGGGTCTCCCTGAAACCCCAAACTCTCAGACATGTTACCACCCAAACCCAAACCCACCGCTCCCTGAGGAGGTGGTAGCCTCTGCTATCTTTGGGCAACTAGGCCTCTTGAGCTCAGCTCGGTGCATCATCTAGCACCCTTGCTCTGCTTCGCCATTTCCAGGCCTGGTCTAGGAACAACAAGGAGGCCAGGAAGAGGATTCTCAACTTCCAGGGGGCCCAGGAGGGTGGAAAGCTTCGGCTGCAGGGTTTTTCGGCTCAGCCTGGGAGCTGTGGACCAGCTGCCACAGCCCCTCGAGCAAACAAGCCACTGCCGCAGCAGGGCTGAGCTGAGGCAGAGAAGGGGATTGTAATAGAAAATTTTTTCCGCACACCATTTCCAAACATTTCCCTTATTCTCGTCTTCAATTCGGGAGACTAGCAAAAGCCCTAAGAAGAGACAAGTAACTCAATCTTTGATCATCTTATCCAGAGCTAAATTCACGATGGTGGTAATGACAGAGAAGGCGCAAATAGACTAACCGCGCCATAAGAAAGCGGGGAAAAGGCTCAGACCCGTCCTTTTAAAAAAACGCTCAACCCTGCGGGTGAGTCACGGCCAGGTTTCTCCCGAGGCTGGCTCCCGGGTGCAGGGAGCACCAACACCGCCATGGCGGCCTGCGGCCCGCGCTCCCGCCGATCGCCGGGAGGTGGCGCGCTCTGCTCAGAGGCCAACGCCAACCCTCTCCCGATTTCTCCCCCTTCTCCTTTCCCCCTCTCTCCAAGGCTCGCATTGAATCGGCCCTAACGATTCTCGGATCGTCATTATTTGTAACCATAGAGCATGAATTACCTCTTGAGGTCATCAGCGAGAATTTACGACTGGTCAACAAAAGCACGTGATTCCCTAACGCCCCCCCATCCCCCTTCCAACCTGCCCCCCCATATTTGGCCGCATACATAGCAAAACGAAGTACAGTGCATCGCTATAATTCATTAATACATCATAAATCGTGAAGCACAGGGTTATAACGACCACGATCCACAAATCAAGCCCTCCAAAATCACCCAAATGAGCTCGTACTTTGTAAACTCCTTCTCGGGGCGTTATCCAAATGGCCCGGACTATCAGTTGCTAAATTATGGCAGTGGCAGCTCTCTGAGCGGCTCTTACAGGGATCCCGCGGCCATGCACACCGGCTCCTACGGCTACAATTACAATGGGATGGACCTCAGCGTCAACCGCTCCTCCTCGGCCTCCTCCGGCCACTTTGGGGCGGTGGGCGAGAGCTCTCGCGCCTTCCCCGCGCCCGCCCCGGAGCCCCGCTTCAGGCAGGCGGCGTCGAGCTGCTCCCTGTCCTCGCCCGAGTCCTTGCCCTGCACCAACGGCGACAGCCACGGCGCCAAGCCCTCCGCCTCGTCCCCCTCCGACCAGGCGACCTCGGCCGGCTCCGGCGCCAATTTCACCGAGATAGACGAGGCCAGCGCGTCCTCGGAGCCCGAGGAAGCCTCCAGCCAGCTCGGCAGCCCCAGCTTGGCCCGGGCGCAGCCGGAACCCGTGGCCACCTCCACGGCCGCGCCCGAGGGGCAGGCTCCGCAGATATTCCCGTGGATGCGGAAGCTTCACATCAGCCATGGTAATTCTCTGCTTGGTTTTTGTCTCCTCTGCTGCCCTTCTCTGTGTCTAGGGGGTGGGGGCCGGGCTTGGCCAGGAGAGCTTGGCTTTGCTCTAACACAGATGTATTTTTCCAAGGGGGAGAAGTCCCTAAGAGGGTCCCCCAGGCTCCGTGGACAGAGCTGAGCAGGGTCTGTGGCGAGGGGGTGGATTTTTAATAATTTGTTCCCAGGCTCGGCTTAGGGTGTAAGATGCTCGGCCAGGAACCAGCTTTAGGATGAAGGATGGGGTGTCTGTAATGTAGGGCAGGGTCCCCCGAAATCTGGAGACTGCTGCTAGTGGATGAGGTCAGACCGTCAAAGGAGCTTTCTAGGGCGAAAGTGGGGCCGCTCTGCTCCCTCCCAGGGCAAGCTGCCGCCTGCGCCCGGAAGGGTGAGGCATCGCTGGGAGGATGCGAGAGACAAAGCCAAAGCCAGGCGCCTTCACGGCCAGCAGAAGTGGGGGCTGTAGGACGAGGGGGTGCAAAAATGGAGCCTGGGCACAAGCATCTGGAGTAGGGAAGACGGGAGCTGCGGGGAGCTGGGTGCTGGGGACGCCTGGGTTCTGCTCCCCGCCCCCTCCCACCGAGGGCCCCCTCCGGGAATCGGAATAGGAATAACTAACGTGGCCTCGCGGCTTTATTCTGTCTGCACCAGATATGACCGGGCCGGACGGGAAGAGGGCCAGGACCGCATACACGCGCTACCAGACGCTGGAGCTGGAGAAGGAATTCCACTTCAACCGCTACCTGACCCGGCGGAGGCGCATCGAGATCGCGCACGCCCTGTGCCTGTCCGAGCGCCAGATCAAGATCTGGTTCCAGAACCGGCGCATGAAGTGGAAGAAAGACAACAAACTGAAAAGTATGAGCCTGGCCACAGCCGGCAGCGCCTTCCAGCCCTGAGCCCGGAACCGCCCGCCTACAGGAGCCCTGGGCGGCCCCAGAGCCCGCGCCACCCCAGCCCCGGCCCCTCCGACCCTCTGCGCTGCCGCCGCCCGCTGGGGACCGGTTCCCACCAGCCTGCCTCGCCC